AACCGGCAGTTGACTTCTGACTTCAAACTAACATGACCCCACTGTATGTTATATTCGACCACTTCTACAGTACTAATCTTACCTTTTCTCTGCCTTTGTGTCTGTCTGCCTGTCTCTGTTACATCTGTGAGTCATTATTCTGTCCCCCCTTTCGACTTTTTGTTACTTTGATGTTCCTCCCCTTCTCTGTGAAGCCCGAAGTCAGCTAAAGGGCCAATGAAACCCATCAAAACGCCTGCCATTTGAAACAAATAACACAAATCTCGAGTGGAGGGGTAGCATCACAAAGCAACTTCATTAAAAAAAACTCGGAGAATGGCAGAGCATTTAGCCAGGTATATTCAATGCTCAATGGGTACCCAAATAACACATGAGCCTATTAATCACAAAGTCATCTTTATCTCCTTCTGTTAAGGGACCACTTTTCCGTTCATGTTTTGCATGACTCATGCAAAGACACATTCGTAAACCAGTGTAGATGGTATTGATGATCCTATCTCTGGGAGATAGGATCTCAATTCTGAAACTTAAGTATATGAAATCAGGCGCCTCGAATAAACAAAAAAGTGAATTGCAAAGTTATATTGGAATCGGACGTACCTGATTTGCAGCACATTTCGCATATCGCACCTGCCGCGTCAAAGCAATGTAGTCATCAGATGCATCGACTGTCAAATTTGGTCGAACAATGTAGATGGCCATCCTCTCGGAAACCACGTTCATTTCAGTGTCCAAGCTTCCGCCCATTTCAACAACAGTGTAGAATGAAGCAGAAGAATGGCAATCAGTAGAATCTCGGTCACCAGCTTAAACACAATAAGACAGGGATTTCGGAGTTAATCGAAAGCGCAAAAAATGACAAAAGTTGGACAGATGTTAAGAATAAAATGATGGACCTGGATATCAGACCACCAGCGAAGAATCTGTCGTTGCAAAGCATTGGACAATCAGCATCTACTATTTATTCAACTTTATTTAAGCGCATAAAATTTCCTAATGAGGAGATAAGCTTTTAACTACAATTCTTTTTCTTCTTACACTTGGAGTCTGAGCAACGGATAAGCATAACAGTAGAGATACAAAAAATTGTTTGACGAATCATTTACAAATCGTACGAATGTTGGGAAAGGCTCACATATTGTCTAAGTGCTCAGTCACCCCTATTTTGATTTGATCAGGCGTGATGATCAAAGTTCTCGAGAAAAATGGCTAGAAAACAGCTGAATAAGACCAGGAGGGAAGAGAGGTAAGACAGGCTCAAGAATCACATCATCTTCATATCGATGAAGCTTTGAGGTCGTATCGATGGGTAGCTTTGTCTTTACTTTATACCAAAATGTCAAGAGAATACTTATAAGAATGCCAAGATAAAATGGCTAATGTTGGGGAAAAAGCATAAGCCTTGCCATCTTGGAAGATGTTTGCCGATGTTTTTTGCAAATTGAGAGCAACAGGAATTGAAGAAATCCCATCCTCTTAGTTGCAGAGCAGCTGAGGCATATCAAAATAACATGACTCGAAATAAGACAAGGTTAAAAAAATTCATTTGGTTCAAAAAATAGGGGGAATAAAAGCCCAACTTTACCACATCCTGATCCAACGTAGAGTATTCAAAAATGACGAACAACTTTGATGAGTGAAAAATGACAAATCAGTTTATGACAAAAGGAAGAATGCGAGGGAACAAAAGCGCTAGGAAAAAACGTGCTATTTGAGCATACGAAACACGCTCTTCATTAAATAGCGCACTTTACTTAAATACGTATGGCTTAACACGAAAGATTAATCTTTCAAAGAGAACACAAGGTGTCAATTGGTTGAAATATAAACTTTTTGTACAGTAAGTGTGCATAATTAATATCTCAATTGGTTCAACTCTCTTGTGAAAAGTTTTAGGAGTAGCAGATAACGATCAATTGTTGTGGACTCTATATTAATAAATGGTCACATTTTAACATCAGCATCACACTCAGCTGGAGTCGATATGAATATAGAAGAACCAAGACCTAAATATCGTAGAGAGGAGTTGTTGAATAGAATGATGAATAAAATATCCCAATCATTTGACGTCAGGGCTTTAGCAGCAATTTCCAAACTGCTCTATTGATATGAGTCTTTATTTACTGAGGCTTGGTCTTTTTCTCCTTACGACACAGATAAATAAATATCCGCACTCCTCATGCTCCTATCTCATGAACCCAATAAAGTACTCTCTTAGCATGATGACAGGATTTTCTGCAGTCTGAAATGACAAGCTAATTTTTGAACTTCCATAAGATAGGAACTCCCAAAATGGCGCCCTAAAACCATTCATAATTAAGCTATTAACGAAACTGTCTTATAGAGATTGGGTTTTGCTCCAAGAGCTTAATAACAATATTATGAATACCCTGTCAAATACGATATCTCTTTAGTCGTATATTGATTAGAGTTCTTACTGAACAAATAATATCACAATTCAGTCAATAAATGTCTGACCAGTGATATAGAAATATTATCACATTTTATTGCTGTTTTGTGCCTCTGTGGGGTCCGAATAGTTGCAGCAAACCTCATAGAACAGGGCTTGATTACACTTTGCAACCAGTTTCAAAGCCTATTCATTCAAATGTCAGAAGTTTTTTTAGGTTCCTATTAATTTGGATTTTAGGACCTATTTCCTTGGTACTCTACTACCACAGACACATACTGCCGCTACGCAGCAAGTAAATTTGAATTTCGACGTGGAAAAAGCTAAAACGAAATTGGGAAGCGCATATGCAACAGAGATTATGGCTTCACTTGGGGTTACCCTTCTAAACGATTGAACTCGATCAATCAAAGTACTAGGAAGTGAACTCCGAATAGTGAAGACAAGTGAACAGTATTACCATGACTCATTCAACCTGAACCTCCTTTGACCTATCCAAAAGTAACCAAATGTGAAATAATTAGACTATAATACCAACTAGCGCCCTCATTACTCGTAAATAAGCCAACTTTACGACATTTTCGGAATGGCATAATTTCACTCCCAGGAGAATTAATATCACACTACCATAGTAATGAGGAAGGGGTGAGTATCGAAACTCACTTATCATACCCATCTGAACATTTCCCATTATTCTGCCAAATTTTAAAAAGCAATCAAAAATAACATTTAATCGAAAGAAGAAAGTTAAAAAAGGACTGGAGTTAAATAAAAACCCAAATATCCTATCCTTTGATAAACCGATGGGATGTAGATAAGGCTAAGATCATTCTTGCAGTACTTATGTTCTTCCTCAAAATAATTAAATTCCGGAAGTTGCCACTAAACCGTCCAAGTTAACCGCCTAAGCCTGAAACTTTTATCCGTCCGGGGGTATTTTGATCCACACAAACATTATTAATATGAAGCCCACTTGTATTCCTACATAATGCCTTTATAAAATATTGTGGGTGGATTACATCTCGCCATAGCCTACCTCTCACAGTTGCGTCAACTGTAGTCTAGCAATAACAGTAGCAGAGCTGGTACTTCAAAGGTGAGCAAAGTATCAGACAATCTGAAGTCTGTAAATCTATTCGAATTAATTAGTAACAAATAACGCAAGAAAAGTGCTCCTAGTCAATTGATAGCTGTTTCAAAATTCTATTTAGACCATCAGAATGTCCATATTTGAAGCTGTCATTATAACTAGGTATGATGCACAACAAAAGATGGGAGAAAATAAGGCATTCCAAAGAAAACTCCACAATTATAAAATTTTCCTTCCTCTCAAAAATATAAAATTTAAAGATTTTGCTCACCAACACGGTATCAAATAAATGTAATACATGGCAAATTGGCAATATCTTACTAGAATGATTGCACGATAACTCTTTATCAACTCTAACTGGGGAGACAACGGCGATAGACGACATTTGTCGAGGGTATCTGGAGTGGCCTGCGGTTACCCATTCATCTTTTGCCACATCGTATCGACTGATGGTGCTCACCAACTGTAAGTCTGGCACCTCACCACCCCAACTTTCAGCTATTCCCCTCACTTCATCCTGAAAATGTAACAGGCCATAAATTGATTTATTTTATCAAAATAGAACTGGATGAGGTCATAGCAACAAAATAAAGGTAAATTATAGAGGATATTTTGGTTTAAAATTGAAAGTATGAAAAATCCCATTGATAAAGGGCACATCAACAGATTTAAGAAGGCGATTTGTATGATTAACAGTTGTCGAAAATAAACCCGAATGAACTATGTACATGCGGCAAGGTAAATTTTCCCTTTTTGTTCATTGCTTACTGTCCTTAGATCTCCTAATGCCATTCATTTCTCTATCAAGTAATCAATTGGGAGACTGAACCCATCTCCCTATCTCTCTTCTAATAAAAGTCTCACTGTAATTGTCAATAAATTGTAATAATTGAAAGGTAAATGAATCCCGAAAACAAACATAGGAAACTGTCGCGAAAGTGCAATTACCGTATTTTGTACTAGTTTTAGAACCAAACAGTTTGACACAATTCACGTCGACTAACAATGTAACCATGGCTTCTAGTCGATCTACATTAAATCATTATTTCCCATTAAAAACATCAATAATAATGATGATAGTGAAGTTCACAGAAGCTTCTAAGAAGGATAATTAAGGTCCTTCCAATCATACACTGATGGCTCTAGAAATGTTCCATCACCCTCCCCCCCCCCCTCCTTCCCTTTCTACAACATAATTTTAATTATCATCAAAAGAATGGGTGGAAAGTAAAAATATACTCACACCATCAGAATGCGCCCTCTGCGCGTTCTCAGATGCCATATGACGTGAAGAAACATTTGGCGGCGACACAGTGACTCCACCAAAGAGGAAGACATGTCCACCACGAACTGCCACAGAAGCGTGACGAGCTCTGGCGATTGGCATACTGCGTCCTTGACTCCAGGTATTCTCCTGCACGTTGAAGCGGTACACACTCGAGAGTATTTCACCCGCCTTCATTAGAAAGAGGGATAAAAAAGCAGTTAGTCTGCTAAACGCCGATTCTGGTGAAAACATAAGGGAGGTAGAGAGAACACTTAGTGTTACTTAGGGTGGTTACAGTAATTTTTGTAGCATTATTAATATTTACTTGGCAAGACTCCTAAGGAAGAATAAAAGTCCACATGAATTATGAATTAAGCTATATGACTACTTGAGATTTCATAAGCTGTTGATTAAAAAACCTAAATAAGTGTAATACCAGGAACAGACTTGGTTCTAGTGAGACATTATTTTTTTAGTCATACCCAAGAATGAAATTTTCTTGTCGATAAATTACCCACTGATCAGTTAGTCCATCCATCCCGCATAACTAAGCGATGTGAAACGATATCAGACCCAGATCACATCCTAGTATATTCTAACAATTACATCTGATTAGACAAACAAGACAGTAGGGAGAGTCAAGTACTCTAAGGAAGTTCACCATGAGGTCCAGCATTGAGAGACCGAGTAGTGAATGGGTCTTCACCCTCCTATCTTTTGGGACCTAAGCGGTTGTAGCTACGGTGTTCATACAGGAAAGAAACAAAATTAAAAAAAATTATTGCCGTGCTAAATAAATTCACTTCAACCATGGACTATACGATTAATCTATGTGAGCCAACTAGAAATAGCATATAAGTGAATTAATTGACAGGTAGTTGCGTTCACGTTTAAACACAAAACTGCTGCTAGACATCGACGAGGCTGAAAGTAGAAGTGAAAAAGAGTGACTATTTCTTACCAAAGTTAATAATGGATGGTCAATATAAAAGAGGGTCTGTGTGTGTATATACTGAAAGCTCAATTAATATTATATTTATATTTAAAAGTAGTAAGCACAGAATACCAAAAATAACAGCAAATAGAACATTTATTAGCCCATAACAAGTGCCAAAAATGTTAATAATGAACTTTGATACACAACTCAACACATCTTAGCATATTTGTTTGGAAATTTTTGCCAATTCATTTGATGCGATTGCCGCAGTAGTATTTTGGATGTTCATGAGTTGTTTTGCGTAGTCTGTAGGTTGCAATGTAATGCTCACTTCATACGCTCACATATGTGTCTGCTTCAACATGCTCTGAATGGGAGGATAGCGAACAAGTTGGTCTTCATGGATTTCTAAGAGGAGCCTCGCGAACACGTTGAATATTTCTTTATAAACAAAGTGTACGCAAACGGTTATGTTTGAAGGTTATCGGAAAAACCTGTGGCCTTAAATTCGCCAACCATTTTCAGTGCAACCGTTTTGGCAGGGACAACTATCTGGAGATAATTTGTACTGAACCTTTCACCGATTTAATAAATAAATAAATAAGTAAATTTTCAATAATAAACATTCTTCAATTGATTGAAATGTCATTCTGCAGAACTAATCTCACACTAGTTTAAAAGCAACAATGAACATTACACAATTAAGACGACACCATGGAATCTCTTTTATCTTCGCCACGCCGCATTTAGGAATTCAAATAATAAAGTAAAACAAACAAAATAGAATAGTTTTAATTTTGCATGCCTACGCACGAATTTCAAAACTATTAATAATTCTGAAAATTTGCACTGGAATGTACCTGGACTGACGAACTCTGGTTAATTAGTTTTTTTGGAAGGAACATTGTAGATCAATCAGGCAAACCAAAAGAATAATACTTTATTGAAACCTAAAAGAGTTATAAATGGAAGTGGATTAAAAAAACAATGCAATTACAATCTATTGAAGATAAATACAACAGGCATTCAGATCTTCCGGGTGAAACTGAACAAATAAATAAACCGATGCTTGATTGAAATAAGCTGTGATCCTCTCCAGTATCTGAGCTAACTTACGACCTGCAAAGACTCTGTATAGCGCGCCTGCCAATGAACCACCAGGTAATTGGCAAACAATGAACGCAAAATCAATCACCCGCCATATCGTACCTCATGTTAGACGTTACTCACAATTCGTATTGTTCCCTTTCTCCCCCCTATTTTCTCGATCTACCTCTTCATCTTTTCACTTTTCACTCATTACCATTTGTTCAATGATGTCATACTTATTTTTAGTCTTCAATTACAAGGAGAACTGTTGTTTCTCGTCAGCCAGACTTCTACTCTCAGTTGAATAAGAACCAAAAAATAAGAATGTGAGGACACAATAACTTCAAAATCCTTTACTAACTTTAAAGATGACTCTCGATGTCCATGTGACTTACATAAACGGCCTCTGATTTGCTCACACAATAGAGCGTTATTATAATCCTTTTAAACTTTAATTACCCTTGTTATAGTTGAATTTTCAAAGCTTACGATACTTTTTCAAGACAAGTAATAAAAGTATAAGAGCAGGGCAATTCATAGTAATTTAAAAATAGCTCTAAAATTATCAAATGTGTTGATTAAGGCATTTGACCGATGAGACGCAAAACAAATTAATCGAGAAAAAAGTTAGTTTACGAGAATTTCACATCCTCAATACCATTAATGCAAAGGGAGGTTAATACTACTTATAAATACTCGAGAAGCACAACTCACCCGAATACCGCCAGTTATGATGAGTATATTTTCAGCCACAGCGGCAGAGAACCACATCAAACTATTCACAGGCATAGCGGGGCAAGTCAAGCAACGTCCTCTAACAAAGGAAAATGCATCAACAGAGTCCAAAATGAAGGTAGAACTAATTCCACCAACTGCAACAAGAGTTGGACGCTTCAACGTAGAAGGACGAGGTTTGAGGGATGTGCTAGGTATTGCAGTGTTGTGGTTAACAGACGATGGAGTAATGTGGTTGTTGTTTTCCAAGGAATCGATGATCTCTTTAAAGTAAACGAGAGCTGCTGGCGATTCCTAGAAGAGACAACGTCAAGGAGAGAGTAAGTTCACTTTTTGCAAAAATGTTATCGAGAGGCAATGGCTGGTGCTAAGCATATCACAATCAACAACCAGCCACTGCTTAAAATCAGTAAACCAATGGTAGACAGCAACAAAATCATATCGATCGATGGTAATAAAAATTCAACAAAGGTTGGGAAATGGAGATAGCACGAGAATATAGCGTCTGCGCCTCTTCCTTTGTTAATACTGTACTCGATGTTTATCCAAGAGCATTATGAATTATCAGGGGAGAGACGAGTATAAAGTAAAAATCATTTTTTCTTTAACTTTGCAAACTGAACATATTCCAAACGAACGGAACAAACGCAAACACTATTTGTATCAAATTGCTCCTGATAGTTCATAACTCACCTACAAGGCCGTAGGTGCAGACGCTCGATTCTTGTCGTCTCCTTTGTTCCCCATCCCCACCTTCCCCGCTCTCCGTTCTTCTCAATTCCTAATTGTTAGTGTCCAATAAATTATGTACTCTCAACTCAATCTTCTAATTTACTGATACTCTGATTGAGATACCCAGAGCACTAGCCATGGCCTATACCTATACCTAAAATCTTTCCTTTAAAGTGTCCATTATTTTAGACTTTAGAAATAACCATCCTGACTGCAATAAACTTCAAATGTGTGTTCTCTCAATCTCCTATACCTTGGTAGAAATTTGTAGACGATTTGAATGCCTTGCTTATTACACTGTACTGACAAATATTTCTTGCTAAAAGCCTTATCGCTAGCATGTAATCACACGTAAGCATCCTATTCCTCGCATGTCTCTTAGATGATCAGGTTCCCAACTGTAATTAACTGGAATTAACAACTCTCAACGCAGCATTAGGAACTTTTATCCTCTATAATGTGGAAAACAGAATGTCTGGATCCTGTTCTACACTCGAGACTTGCAGAGAGAAACGGCAAAGCCCTAACAAAGGACCTAGTACCAGTTATATTGGATGTTTAGTTGAGTTTAAAAATAACGTAAATTTTGTTAAGCTATTTTTTGAAACCAGTCCTCATGGATCACTTATCGGGTTAAAATCAAAAATAGCAAAGTTTAGAAGTAAAATTGAGTAGCGTAAATTTGAAATAAGAGTATTTACGTTAATCTCTGAAGGTTTTCATGTGATCAAATGTAAATGTTTAACAACCCGTAGATCGAGTGCTTAATAAGCATCATTGCATGTTCAGGGAACGCAATGACCAAACGTAACGGTTCCAAATGGTCGCATGAGTACTGTGTGCATTAGAAAATTCAATTCAACAATCAAAAAAGAAAATATTTAAACTTGACACCCACGCGAATAATGCTAGAGGTAGATTCAATATAAGTCCTAAGAAGACTAGGCGATAGTTGCTGAAGACGAACATGATGAAGCAGATCACTGAGATGACAGGCACGCTTTTCAGGTTCGTGAGCGACCCAAATCAAGCAAGCATCCAGAACCTCCTTTTCAGAACGGACTTCCAGATCATCTGCGCTGAGATAGGATTCTACGCTCTTAAGGGGAAGTTGGAGCCATTCATCTAAAGTTGATTCCTCGGCATTTACCAGCCTAAAAGGGGAAAAATAGCGCTTTTCCAATTGGCAACATTCGTATATATAAAACATAGAGCCCTAATACTAGAAATAGCAGAAAATGAACACTTTTTTCATACAAAAAAACAAAAAGGTTCGTTTTGTGTTTTATATAAGACGAATAGTTTCTATTGAGCTTAGAAGCTCGTCTAACCCTAAGCGAAGTAGCTCATGTCTTGAAAAAAGCCTTACTAATATTTTATCCTGACTACAATTTTCGACAAAAGTTAGCCCTATCTCAACGCATCCTGAGTTTACTTTACTTGTAATGAAGCCATGATGGAATCTTGAAAATTAGTTCTGAATGGAGCTAAAAAACAGAAAAATTAGCATCCATTTGTCGCTCAATCACCGTCCTAGTTAGCATGCTTCTGTATGATAGAAAGTTATAAATTATAAGTTACTTCATACAGACTACTTCGTAAATAGAAATGCCTCTAGTTGGCCACGTACAATTCGATCATAAATCAATATTCAAATCAGTGGGAAGCATTTAATAAATCACCTATTTAAAAGGCAAATGTGCTAATAAAAATGGGCAAAAATGAGTTGCTTCCATTTTAAGATAAAAATGAGAGAAATTAAAGTTCATCACCTAAGCTCACAAACAGATTTGGCGGATGAAAAACAGGCAGTCAGAGGTAAGTTTGACCTAAGTCGATTCTTTCAATAAGGTAACTTCCAGCAACATTAGACGTTGTCGAATCTTTGAAAATAAGCGCGATAACCATTACGTACGTCAAAATGACCCACGAACTGGTCTACTCCCAAATCACATAAAATTGGGTAATGAGAAGACGAATGCGAAATCAGCATGCTATTTGGAAAAATAAAGGAAGCAGACAGCCAAATAAGTCTATTGCTCGAGTAAGGTATAGTTCTCCAGATGCAATTAGTTTTCACTGTCGGATAGGTTGGCCAAAGTATTAAAATAAGAAGAGAATAGAAAGGGAGAGAAAGAGAACAGAATTGAACCCGGAAAAAACGCAGATGTTGGGCAAACAGTTGTGAATCAATAAACAGCCTACAGAACGAAGGACGAATCAAATGAAGAAGGTTGCGAATGAGTTAAAAAAACTGAACTAAATTAGGAAGTGGACTTAGCTAAAAGTTGAACGTAGGCAGGAGATAATTATAACTATATATTATCATGGCTAAGGAAATAATTGGCCATACCATTACACGTAATATGAGCACAGACTATCAGGACAACTATAAATAAAACTAGATTTCTCAAGAAAGGAAGCGTTCTACAACGATTAAAAGTGCAATAACTGAAGTTAACTGTGCAATAAGAATTGAGGTTTTCATCTCATTAGAAGTAATTTGGCCACGTATCGTAAAAGTTTTATAAAATTCACTGATGGAACAACTCAGAAGGGGTAGTGAAACTATATCATGTATTATATTATATCTTGATTGAAATCGACAGTTTAGAAAAATAAACCGAAGTCCCCATTGTGGCTGGAATTTTACCTCGAGTTAAAATGAGTACCACAATGGTCATTAGGTGAGTTTCAAGCAGTCAATCATGTTGGTTGAAGTGCAGATATAGATGGTTCACAGCTACCATTTGCACAAAAGCTAGTTATCATTCCATTAGTAATTTGACCATTGGAATGGAACAATATTGGTCAATCGTTCAAAGCAATAAACTGAATTGATATAAAATAAATCGGGATCATAAGAAATTAATTCCTCAATATCCATTTTCTACGTAATTTCCTTTAACCCCCCCCCCCCCCCCCCCCCCACTCACACATTTTATTCTCTTACTTTTCCTCATTTTAAGACACGGTTTATTGACCACACATTCAAAAAGTGAGAACTTACGTTGAAAAATTTTCCAATGCCAATGTACGAGCACTCTTCGCCAGATCATGAAGTTCATAGACCTCAGCCAACAGTTGAACACCAAGACAGTTAGAGATATGAAGATGACGTTTCATGAAATCAACACAGGCCTCCACAGCCAGCGGGTAATCAAGGAGATTAGCTGCTACGAAGAGATCTTGAACCACTGCAGTACTTAGAGTCAGACGACCAGTGTAAGCAAAATTAATAAGGTAACGGAGAGCCCAAGGAGAGACCTGCTTGAGATTGACTCGAGAGGTCTGTTGCTCAGAAAAGGGGGTCATAAACATCGCCTTGAAATAATGAAAGAAGAAAAGGAAATGTCAATCGATCTGAATGAAATGGGCACATAGGCACATAAGGTTCAATTCGATTTGAATGGAACTGGGAATATGTGACAGAGCGAACAGAGTCTAGTTGTCTTTCGTATATATCGAAGAATTTTCGACTTCGATCATAAGAATCAAATCATGCTAGATCTCGTTAATATTTCATCAATATTTCTAGTTCCAGGTTTGGTCATTACTGAAGTAACGTTAGACTCAGTTTTAAAACACCGTAGAAAAAAAAACACAAAAAGAAGGACAATTAATTGAAAAAAAATCTGTTATAAACTATGATTTAGATTTCAAAGATTTCTATAAGCGCTCAATTCGCACTCGATATAATAGTTATTTCGAGAAAAATTATAGACCTATAAATGTAAACAGATGTGGTAATAAGTAAGTCTTGCTAATGAGAACAGTAACTAATATGAAATGATAGAAAAAGAAGAAGCTGTCTGAAAAGTGACATCGACGATATTCCAATAATAAATGAAATAAATAAATAATAATTATCACTCAAAAAGGAAACAACGCCACATAAAGCTAAAAACTCAATGACGTAAATCAAATTGAATTTCGGTTCAAGAAAGCTAATTAAACTAGGACTTACACTGAAGTATCGGGAACTTGAAGCCAGTACAACCTTATGACAGGGAAACTCTTCACCAGAGGCACATAGAATAACATCCGTATATAACTGTTTCTGGCGACATTCTTCTAAGCCACGAAGCAAAGCTACAACTTGTTGGGATACACAGTTTTCAAGAAAATAGGTTTCTTTCAAAACGCCATTTTCGGATAAGTTTTCCGATAAATGGTAATCGGCACTCATGGTGAAAATGTAAGCTGGGGAGGAGATAACTGGTTGACCTAGGTTTTTAAAGTACGTGCGACCAATGATATCCGTTTTAATTTGGTGGGAATATGTTAATAATTCTTCATTCATTTAAAATCACATGCTATCGCCGGTCATATTAATCTAAAAATATTTTTACTGTTTTACAATTTGTTTATTCTAGTATAGATACAAAAGTTAAATTATAACCAAAATTAAAGAAATATGGAAAGTTAGAATCTCACTTTCAATAAGTTTGCCAGATCTGCAAACAATATATATTTCAAAATTTTATTGACATGCATGGAAAGATTTTTGAGGTCACATGCTGTGGCAAAATTAAATGTTCTACCATGTTTCAAGGATTTCAATCCTCCTTTAAACTCTGGGAAGTGTGCTCCCAATTTAGCTCCCCTAAGCTTGCAAGCTCGATGTGTTTCATGGATGAAAATCTGTCTAGTGTGTGAATAAATCTTTTCCGGTACGGTACAAAATGTCTGAATTTAAATTTGTTACGTAGTGTTGAAATATGAGTCTCAAAAATAAAGGGACTTCTCCATTCATAACTTTATAATATTTGTAAACAATGGCAAAATGTGATAAACAACACCTCAAACACTTTGATTTTTAAATTGGGATGGCTTTCCATTCGTCTATATGTACTCAAAATGCTAACTTATCGACAATTTCCAATAAAATTACTCATTATGATTTTCCTCCGTGCGACATTACCTGGAAATTTCGTGATTAAAAAAATGGTAATCATTAATTTCGAAATTTAAGTAAATCAAAATCCCAGTTCGAATTTATTGTATAAATTGAAAGACATTACGTCTCATATAATTAATTAAAGCAAGTTTCCTTAATTAGTCTGAAACAATGCAATCAAAATAAACCCATTTCAAAATTTTTGAACGTTTTTGAATGAAACTTGAATTACCCATTATGGAAATCCTTGATTTTTACTCTAAAAGATGTCAAAGCTTCTGTAGGGTATGATGCTCAAATATGCCTTAACTAAGCCTAAGATTTCCTAATGTTGAATTTCCCTAGTTGGAAATTTCTCTCTCTTAATTAGCCAAGAAGCCTTAATAGTATCGAGCAAATAGGAATTAATATGTAAACAGTGTTTGCTGTAGTTGAGTCACTGTCCAAGAGCTAAGTCAGTCTAATTCTATTTTTTAGTGACTAATGTAGTCACTAGTGACGCTCACGACCATGTATACTCCCTAACGTGATTGCAGCAAGGGCACACTTGATGACTACAGAATCCGAAGGACACCGCCAGTTCTAGACTTTTCCTATTCCCGTCATATTACTCTTCTGAAATGTTAAGATTTTTTGCAATATTCATTTTTCAGTATCTAAATTTTAGTGTTATATTGTAATCAGAATATCATGTATCCTGGTATATACATAGTGTGAAAGCATAATATAGGTTGAAGTGTCAATTGAAACAATATTTTTCGTTTTGTAACATAATTTATCACTCAAAGATGCTTACTTTATTTCCTGTTTATAAGCTCAGATAGAAAAAAATATCAAATTACTCCAATGAGTTAAGGAGGGTTTTATATTTATAGTACACACCCTAATCACCTTTAAATTAAGCATATTTTTGATGGTACAAATGTGTTTATACGGTCCACAAAATTGTTGCCATTCATGGAGTAACATTTATTCATGAAAAGTGCACTTTTGTTGACAACAATCGATTTCGATATATCAACATCTTCTCAGCGATGGTATTCTACAACCAATATGAAATATTTGAATTCAGCTTAAAGTATTAGCATTATCCAAGAATATTTAGAACACTGTGTTCTGTAATAACACTTTGGCATTCCGTAATGGCAAGTATTCTAGAAAACGATACCAGCAATAGATAGTACTGCCCTCAGACTGATATCTTCTTTATCAACCTAGTCATATAATTTCATTTCGAAAATTGCATTTAAAAGTTGTAACAATAATTCTTCCTTTATATATTGCCTGGACTCTTCTCATCCCATTTACATTAGCTTTAGTAATTACTGTAGAAGCAACTAAAAGCGTATAGAGGTAGCATAACCGATCGCTAATTAGCCCAATAAAGATCTTCAGCGCTATTGAATTGTTATTGTTAATTGTACAAAACACACGAAGTTATAAAATATCCAACTAATAGTATATTTAAGTTAAAAAATTTCTACAAAATGGGGTGAAAATGGCGGTAAAATTCAAAGAAATGATTTCCTTTTCTTTGGTGAACTAACTGTTGGTTTCTCCATGACAAAAAAACTGGACCTCATTTATCTTCCTGACTTTTAAAATGTCTTTTCACTAGAAATTAGCAAAGGACAGAGTCTCAACTTTTTCCGCATCATTTTAGTTGCTGTAATTTGAAACAAAATTTAGCCAATTGTTCGATATGTGTTGTTCGATGTTTTTCAGTGACAGTTATTTTCAATTTCCTAGAGATATCTGAGTCAGTTTGATAAGATCATCTTCAAAGAAAATTTATGGATCAACTAAAAAGCTCACTTTCAATTAGGTGAATTGGTTTGCTGGCCATAAATGTTGGTCAGTAATGAAGTAAAAATAGGTCAGCGCAGTGCGTTTGCTTTATTCGTAGAAAATAAAAATCACAAATTTGTGAAAACGAGATTTTTATCTCATGAATTCTCATATATTAATCATATAGAATTGAGAATTAAATGAATGAATTGTTCAATAGAACTATATTGTAAGAGACCATGAAGGCAATCATATAACCAAAGTATAACCATAAATTTAAAAACTGCGCGCAAAGAAAAATGTATTTAGAAAGATTAGTAGCTTCTATAGTAACGGTGGAATTAAAATTTCTGATTCTTTTTCAAATGTCAAATCCAATACCTATTAATTGATTTATTTAAAATAACTGTATTTTTAAAATAAAAATCTTTAAATTAAATCTTGTACTGTAATATCTATTGAACAATATATTTTAAATCAAAATGACGCTTTGTTTTACGATGCAACTCCTACGTTTACATGACCTTTTGCGCAATTGAAAAAATTCATTTTATGCACACTTGACTTATTTCTTTTATTCACTTTTATTTCTTGTCAATATGGACAATGATGTTGGTCGAACAGAAGATTCTATGGATGTATTTAATAGCGAATCGATGGATTTGGAACAGATCAAGCTGACACTTGCTGTGATGCAGCTTGATGCTGCCGATAGAGCTGTTATTCGGGTAGCTGGTGAGTTTCTGAAGATGCACATCATTAATTCAACAAGATTTTAATTTTAAGTACGTAATTTGTCTCACGTCATAAGTTAAAACAGCGTGAAATATGTCCTTTTCTTTGGATAATTTTCCACTTCCTTTAGTAATTTAGTCGAATTAATGAATAAAGCATTATTCTTTATCAATATTTTCAGTTTAGTTGGAATAGTATTGTTACTTAAATCATTAGTTAATGCATTACGCGATTTTAATATTTGTTGAATTCCTTATTATAATTGTTTCGACTTTATGGTGTTGTGTTTTATTTGTTTGATTCCCAAATTATACACCATTTATTGCTAAGAATTTAATTTTTAATTCGCAGATCAAAGGGATGCGATGCAAAAACGTGCCTTCACAATATGGGTGAACAAACACCTATCTCAGGTAACTATGTTGTAATTAGGGAAACCTTAGGTATAGATACATTTATGCTCTACACTATTAATTACATATTGTTGATTTTATTTATTATTGCGCATTGTAGTATTTATCCCTTAAGCATAACTTTTCATTTATGACATAAATATTACTTATATGGAAAATATGTCTGTTCATATATTTCAAAAAAATAATTTGATTGATATATTTTAGTGTTTTTGCCCTTCCCATCCTCACTCAATAAACCTATCTCATACGTTAATTCCTGTATCTTCCGCCATATTGTTCATGGATATTTATAACTATGACATTCAGATATGAACATTTGTCTTTAACAATGCCTGAATATCCACACAATCCAATTTGATTTGTTTACATATAAGAAAACGTTTCATGTGCTCTTTTATACCTCCGTTCGGCAAACACTGATGCTCGCGATGAAATGCTCTACATTTAACTACTCTTCATTCTATATTTATAAACGCCTATAGTTTTCCTTCCTATGGAGGTCGCGAATTGCCCACAAACCGTACTGACTAATTCCATCAACTGCTGAGTAATCCTCATTCTGCACCGTATTTCTGCTCCTAGTCTAAACATGTATGCTCGTTGAGCTACGCCTCTTTTTCCCTTTATTTCCCAGCATAGCAGATGATTCATATTAGATTATATTTGTAGACAAATAAAATACATTTCCAATCCCCTCAATTTTATCAAGTTTTTTATTCACTCATTGAAGATTACGTGATTTTATGAAATGCTTATCAATGTTTAGCAGATTTTAATCGTGTCCTAACAAGGCGGTATTACAATAACCAAGTACTATAGACAACATTCACGCAAACCAGTTTAAACTGGGAGTTGCACAGCTTTTATGAAACGTGCTTTTGCTTGATCAGAAGACTAAACGCAAACACGCGTTGGTTTAATAAAAGTGGGATATACGTAAGCACTCTTGGACTGATGTTTGACCAATAAACGTCCCGAACACTAGATGATGAGATATCGGATTGATTTAGCAAACAGTTAGCAGACTTATTAATCTGACTATTGTGCTCTGATTGTGTGCGAGACTGGTTAGTGATTGGTGTGTTCATACCACGTGTATGTGTATTTGCACCGCAACACGAACATGATCACATTGTGTATGTTATGTGATAATTCTAAGTCTGAGAAAAAACACTTTTCTTCAGTGATAACAAAAATATAATTGGCGTGGTGTAAGTTCAACAATCGCTTCATTTTTTCAAACATCAGGGCATACATTACGGAAATTTGAGCGAAAAAAACATTGAAATAGAATGAAAATAAAGATTCATGATTAGCACTCGAAGTTTTGCATTTGTATTATAGAGCATT